TTACTGCTGATTGGCTACAAGTTTGTTTAGCTAGTCGACCCAAATCAGTTTTCTAAAGCGTTTTTGAAAAATCGCTTACCCCACCTTTAAATTCTCAGTTTGGTTCTCATTACTGAAATAAAATCATTTTTCAAATTAAATCACCATAAATTAAAGGAAATACACCAAACTCTGGCATGATGTATAAATACGTCACACTGTTTTTGCATTATAGTAATGAAATTTGTGCATAAATGTCACGAAAATAATGTCACAATGCAAAAAAAATGGCTTTATTTTTTTTAATACAAAATGTACTTTTTACTTTTTTTCTCTTGATTTGGTGTGACATATGACCCTGGCATGTTCTTGACAGGTTTCCTGAGATTCACCCTGACAGATGAGACATGAGGGGTCTTGTAAGGACAGACAGATATGAACAGAGAGAGAGAAAATCGAGGGAATAACGCATGTAGGAGCAAGAAAGGGACATAAAGAGAGAGTGATCTGCTTCCCTGCGGCTGAGTGTCTTTATCCACAATCTGTCAAAGAGCATCTGTCAGTGTTAGTGGGTCACTCGTTTCCTTGTTTTCTCTCTTCTCTTTCCTCTCTTATTTCTGTTCTAGATGGAAACCACTTTCATGCTGTCCTTTCTATCTTCTCTACCTCATTTAACAAATGATCCAATAATAAAACATGTGGAACTCATTAGTGAGAATTAGGACTAGGTGATTTGAAACAAAGGAGAGAGAGAGATATAATGAAAAGCAGAGGAGAGTGGCATAAATGAAATAGAGTAAAAGAGAGGCGTGAGTGACAAGTGGAGGACTAGAGGGCAAGAGTCGGCTTCCTGAAGTAAAAATCCCATTCATTTTCTTCACAGAGAAATCAAACAACTTGTAAAAGTGCATGTTGCATCCGATGACCCCTTTAACAATGGAGTGTTTCCTTAACGTCAGGCACATTTATTATGGTAATTTTTTTTATTAAAAATTAACAAATTATGTCTACTTTTTCTTAATTATTTATGGAGGCTACAAAAACACTTGAACTTTTTCATAATTTACTTCAGCTTCTTTTTAAGTGACTTGTACAGTGAACAAAGGACAACGGATTTTGTCATTTCATTCAAAAAATAAAAAAAAAAAAAAAAAAAAAAATTTTAATTTCCACCACAATGCAATTGGATGGTGATTTTAGTGGGAATGACAGTGTAAGTGTAAATTTATTGCACATTTACCCACTGTTAGACATTGTTAGTAGGCAAATGCTGATATATGCTTTTTGCAGAAGACAAATCAGTGTGATTTCAACATTTTAATGGAGAATTTAAAGGGAAGGTGAAAGGATCTTAGAGGTAGAAAGAAAGGCTGAAAAGTTCATGTTCATTCATTTTTTGGCGGTTTTGGGTGTCTCTGGTTTATTTTTCAATAATTTTTCGTCCTGAAAGATGTAAACAAATAGAACTCGTTGCTTACAAAAGCAGTCAGAGGGTGACAGGAGAGAACCATGTGTCTGTTCTTGTTTTTCAGTACCCTGTTTCAGCTGTCAGCCGCATGGGCCGCAGTGGGGTCAGATGGTAGAACATCACTCAGAACACACTCTCTTTTGATACGGCCACGCAAAAAACGCACTAAAAATTGCTCTTTAGCATCCGCATAGCAATGCTCTGCATCTTACAGTAATATCATGGTGATGTGTTTTGCACAAGGAAGCACGTTTTTCACAAAATGTAAAATATCTACCCTAGTATTGAATGTGCACTTGTAGTGTACTACAAATCATCAGCTGTGCTTACTGATAATACAATATTAATGAAATAAAAGGCCACTTAAGTCTAAGAGAGGTACTTTCATGCATGGCTATGCTTCTTGTTGTTTTTAAAAAGTGCACTTTGTAACAATGTCAAATTAAAAGTTTTACTTTGAAGTACATTTTAAATCATGATTTTTTGAATCTTTAGTCATGCTTTAAAAAGTACTTATTTTGATGAGTTGACTTACGAAGCATATGTAAATACTTGATTTACATTAACTATGTTATTCGATATTACAATATTGTTTGTATATTTTAAATGTACTAAATTGCAACTTCATCATTATAAATGTATAATTACAAATATAATTACCTGACATACAAGTTTCTCTTTATTCTGCTTTTACTCATTTAGATTTTTTCCTCCAGCAAAACAGCTGAATCCATTGGGATTGCTTTCATAAATTCAAAATGAAAGATTTAAGATCAGAACAATGAGATATGTTTCTGAATATTGTAAGCAAACACTGTCCAGGCCCTTTGTTGTTTGGTCCAAACCAGTTCAGGTTCGATTCCACCACCCTCTCTTCGAGTCCATACATTTGCATCAGACTCCTTTTCTTTTTTGTTTTGCTGTTAGCTGTGCATTATTTATGATGGGTTAAAACTAAAAGCCTCTGATATTTTCTGCTTTCTGTGTGGATTTTTTTTTCTTGGAGAAGTAAGGTAATCCATTCCTAATAGTCACTGGAATGTTTAATTCTTCAAACATGGCCTCAGACTCACACACACACACACACACACACAGACAGAGAGAGAGAGAGACTTTATCCACCTCATGTTTTCTGCATGATCTTTTATCCGAGCTGTTAGAACCTAGTCTTCCAGAACACTCTATTCCTAAACAGAGACTCTTTGCATAGTTCTAATGTTCCGAACTCATAGTTCCAACTGAACATCACAGAAAGATTGGTCATTTACAAAGCTAACAAAACAACAAACAAAACCTTGACTGTGAAACCTGTGGAAAACATACGTCCCGTTTGACTCCACAAGCCAGCGGGAGACGGAAGGGCCTTATGTAAACCCTGACCTTGTGTTCTTCTACAAAATATGGATAAACACTAATTTGCGGTTTGTTAATGTACCGCTTCCTCTCTGGAATCGTGGGGCCACATTTCCACTGAACCTCAGCCAAGAATGACTCGCTGAAGAGGGCTCTCTCACACACACACACACACACACACACACACACACACACACACACAGACAGAGACAGACAAGAGAGAGATCAGCGTTAAATATTGAAACAGTGTCCTTAGAATCCAGCCTCTCTGGAATCGTGGGGCCACATTTCCACTGAACCTCAGCCAAGAATGACTCGCTGAAGAGGGCTCTCTCACACACACACACACACACACACACACACACAGACAGAGACAGACAAGAGAGAGATCAGCGTTAAATATTGAAACAGTGTCCTTAGAATCCAGACATACTGTGCAGACACTAAACTACCTTTGAACCATGAAAAACATGCAGTGTGTTTGACATCTGTTGTAACTGGCCAGTGCTCTAAATACAGAGATGATGGACTTTCATCTGTGTCTCTTTGCAGAATTATCTGGGTGAACAAAGAACGTCTGTTTGGGTTCATGCATGTGTAAAATATACTGTTTGTGTTCGGGGTGGGCGATATGGCAAAAATATATAGCAGTTTCTTCAGGAAGGATCACAATCTTATCAAAATGTTTTTTAAGACGATTTTGCAAGTTACTGAGCAGTAAAACTAAAGTTCTCAAGTAAACAACAAAGAAACAAATGACAAGCAATAAAACAAATTAATACTACAGAACAAAGATACAAATGAAGTAAACAGTGCTTTGTACCGTTTACTTCATTTACAGCTACTGTATGAATGAAATATAAAGCTACAAATGTGATTCAGTCAAGAGCAGATTTTCTCTTTGTCTTTTATTGTTTGATTAACATTAATGACACGGGCATTATTAGGCTGCTGCCACTTTAAGATGGATCTAATATCTCATATAACTGTAAGGCATAAGCGAATGTATTTACAGGAATACTTGCCAAGGCGGGCACAAACGGGACACAATCTCTACGATACGTTTGAAAGGTAGATCGTGGACGTCTTCAAGATCGATACAAAATTGTTGGAGGAAATTGTTGGTGTTTTTCCACATTCATCACATGAGAAAACTTTGTTCACACAAATGAATCTCAAACCTGGTTATTTTGTCAATGATCTTATTAGTGGTGCTGACTTAGGTTTCTGTTGTCATGCTTATGGTTAGGGATTTGCATAGTTTGTGCCACTTGTTGAAAAGAGGTGTGTTGTTGCTTTTCTAACGGATTAAACAGGCAAAAAATCCCACAGACTGAGCTGATGAGACTTGATGCCAGTACAAAACACCTAGCAACTACATAGCAATGCGCAAAAAATTCTCAGAACGACCTACAGTAGCAACAGAAAAGCAACTATAGATATGTATATACTTATCTATGATAGCAACGCTCCAACCTCCCAGAACACCATGCACAGCATCGTGGCAGTGAGTTTGGCAAATGGAAAATCAGGATAATGTATTTCATCATTTATTGATCAAATCTTTTTCTCTTTCTTTGTCCAGCATGGGTTGGTGCTCTGGCGATGGGGATGATATTTTTCTGCTCTCCGGTGGTCAGTATGTTCACCGATCACTTCGGATGCCGGAAGACAGCTGTCTGCGGAGCATTTGTGGCCTTCCTCGGTCTTCTCACCAGTTCATTCGCAACGTAAATGCCTTCTTTTTTTCTTACTTTTTCTTTTGTAACATTTGTATATTGTTTTTTTTTTTCCATGTTACTTTAGCATTTTCACAGTCCATTCGGAAATTATATGCAAAAAAAATAAATAAAAATAAATAAATATATATATATATATATATATATATATTTTTTTATTTTATTATAATTTTTTTTTTCTATAAAATATTTTTTATTATATGATTTTTTTATATTGATTTTTGTATGCTTTTTTGTCATGCACATTTTTCCAAAAACAATAATTTAATGTAAAATATTTATTATTTTGATTCATTCCATACATTTTGAACAGAACTGACAAATAACTATACACACAGAACAAAATGAAATCAGTCAAATAATGTGATTGTTCTTGGTAATGTGACACACAATGACATCATTTCCTGAAACTGACCCTGCATTGGAATTTTAGATTTACTTTAATTCTTTCAGCCTTACCAAAACACATTTATTTTATCCAGAAATTTTATTTGATCCACCGTCACTGTTTAAGTTCACTTAAAGACATAACAGACTGTTTTCGAGGATATTCGCCAAGACGGATATTTTGACATACTTTTGTATGTATTTGTTTGTTCAAGTGCAAGACGTGGAAAGAAAATCTGGGGCTCATGCGATGCCTGAGACGCAGCTCTGTGAATGTACGCTGTGCTCACAGAACACACTGAATCAGTTGTTATTTGCATCTTCTTGAGCTTGAATGCTTTTAAATTGCTTGAATGTTCAAATTGGCCAGGTGTATTTGTCTGTTAAAGCACAAGTAGTCGCAAAAGAGAACTCAATTCGGTGTTGTCTGCGACGTTGTGTGCGAGTTGTACACAGAACATCGCTGAGTACTGAATGGAGTTGTCTTTCGTGTCATCTTGCGCTTGAATGCTTTAAAATCACTTAAATGTTTAAATTGTCAAGGCTTAAAAACACGTGCAAATGATAAACTTTCGTGAAGACGCAGCAGTGGCCTGATCAGACCAGTGACAAATCCGTCAGTTGTCTCGAACATCTTTCACGCTGGCCCCGGGCCATCGGGCAGTTCTTATTGTCGAGCCCTGTTACAGCATCTGTCCTTGAACTGCTCAATAATGCAGATGTTTCTAAACTTAATTTGAGTTAAAGGGGTCATATGATGTTGCTAAAAAGAACATTATTTTGTGTGTTTGGTGTAATGAAATGTGTTTATGCGGTTTAAGGTTAAAAAAACACATTATTTTCCACATACTGTACATTATTGTTTCTCCTCTATGCCCCACCTTTCTGAAACACGTCGATTTTTACAAAGCTCATCGGTCTGAAAAGCAAGGTGTGCTGTGATTGGCCAGCTATCCAGTGCGTTGTGATTGGCCGAATACCTCAAGCGTGTGACGGAAATGTTACTCCCCTTACCATATTGTGATGATGCCGTAGTACAGTATGAGCACCACAGTGTGCTGAACATTTTGCACATTTGCTAAGTCTCAGAAAGTAAAATAAATTAAGATACATACATTAAAAAAATTATTAAGTTCCTAACTGTTGAATATACCGAATATACCATAAATATACACACAGAACTAAATAAAATCAATCAAATTTTTCCCAAAACAGTATTTTTTCTATATTTATTAATTATTTTTTCTTGTGCATTTATTGAAGAAAAAAAAACAATATTTTTCTGTTAAATATTATTATATTATTTTTTTTCTTGTGCCTTTTTCCAAGAACAAATTTTTTCTGCAAAACAATTCTGTTTCTCTTTTACGTGTGTAAGATGTGAATCAATAATATCTCCTGTCACTCATTTTGTGCGTTCATGTCTTTGAAGGTTGGGTTTTGTAGAGATGTTGTGGTTGAAGTGATGGAGGCGGACAAATCACTCAGCCTCCTTAAGTGTGCTTATATAAAAGGTTACTTAATCACGCTGACAGTCTTTTAAACAAAAGGAAAAAACATAAACACGTAGGAGAGCAGGACCTGTACGACAGAATAGTGATGTAGATATGTGGGGGCGTGTTAGAACGAGCCGTTTTAGGTAGGCGTGGCTGACTCTTAACTTTTATAAAGAATATCTCTTTGGATTTGAGACTTTAGTCTTTGCAACTTTACAGATCTTCTTTATGCACCAAGAGCTTGTAACACTCCAAAGAGAAAGAAAAAATTGAAATCGCATCATATGACCCCTTTAACTTGTACATGACATACACAGCTGCAGCACATATAGTTCAGTCTTTGTAGTCTATATATTTGTGGGAATCTGTTTCCCTTTACTTTGAAGTGTCTTTGTTATCTGCTGGCATGCATAAAGTGTAAACATTCACTCGTCCCAGATGTGCAGTATGAGCACCACAGTGTGCTGAACATTTTGCACATTTGCTAAGTCTCAGAAAGTAAAAAAAATTAAGATACATACATTAAAAAAATTATTAAGTTCCTAACTGTTGAATATACAGAATATACCATAAATATACACACAGAACTAAATAAAATCAATCAAATTTTTCCCAAAACAGTATTTATTCTATATTTATTAATTATTTTTTCTTGTGCATTTATTGAAGAAAAAAAAACAATATTTTTCTGTAAAATATTATTATATTATTTTTTTTCTTGTGCCTTTTTCCAAGAACAAAATTTTTCTGCAAAACAATTCTTTGTTTCTCTTTTACGTGTGTAAGATGTGAATCAATAATATCTCCTGTCACTCATTTTGTGCGTTCATGTCTTTGAAGGTTGGGTTTTGTAGAGATGTTGTGGTTGAAGTGATGGAGGCGGACAAATCACTCAGCCTCCTTAAGTGTGCTTATATAAAAGGTTACTTAATCACGCTGACAGTCTTTTAAACAAAAGGAAAAAACATAAACACGTAGGAGAGCAGGACCTGTACGACAGAACATTTATGTAATCTTTGCTTTCTTTCTCTTCCCTCCTTTCCTTCATTCTTTTCCTTCTCATTGTTTTCTCACAGTGCCTTCTCTCTGAGATCCTTGTGCAGTTGGGTCATTATACAAATTTATGTCCTCATTTGTCACAAAAACGCACACACACACACACACACACACACACACAAACAAACAAACTATTTCCCTCCCTTCCTCAGGCTTTGAACACAAGTGTCTCCTGCAGGGTCCAGCTTCTCTCTTCCATCTCACAATCCTTCATTTACACTAACGTCTGTTTGGTCATTAAGCAAATAATGTGTCCTGCTGGCCGTGTGTTGCACATTCTCTGGCTTCAGGTGTCACAGGTCATTTGGAAGTGAAATGCTTTAGTTTAATAAGGAGAGAAAAACATGAAAGTTCAACAGTTCTGCTGTAAAAATGCTCGTATCAATCATGCACCTTGTATGACTTTATTTCTTGTGCAACCATCTTGCAGAAGTTGCTTTTGGACACTTGAGAAAAACCTTACTTTCAAAAAGAGTGCTTTTTTTTATATACTTAAGCGCAAATTGAATGTAATGTTTTCAGACACTTCAATGAATAGCAATTAAATGAAAATGTATTTAGTTTAAATTTAAATGAAATATAATGAGTTTTATAGTGCTTTCTTCGACTAACTTAAGTAAGACTTGTTTTAAGTACACTTAAATGGCCTTTTTTTCTAATAATGTTATATTATCTGCACATACAGATTTTTAATAATATACTTTCAAGTACACTGCAGGCTTATTGTTGTTCACTAAAAACTAAAGCTGAAACCATTAAAAAACATATTTTTGTTGATTGAAATAAGATAAATATTGACTGAAATAAAATAAAATATACATAAAAAACCTTAAGCTATTTTATCTTTATTGCTTTGACAACTAGATATAATTTATCTAGTTGTCAAAGCAACTTTTTTCTTTTTTTTAAAAAGTTTTTTGTTAAGTAAAAAAAAAAACTAAAATAGAACTAAAAACTAAATAAACTAAATCTAAAACCTAATAAAAACTATACAGATATATTTTAAAGAAAAAACAAACTAATGAAAATGCCAAAACACAACAATAAACTTAAACTAAAACTTTAAAAAACTATATTGACATATTTAAAAAATAACTGACTAATAGAAATGACAAAACAATACACTTAAACTTAAAGGGGACGTAACACACACACAGTTTCTGCCAATGTCATGTTAATCTTGAGTACCTATGGTATTGTTTCCTTCATATCTCCGAAGAGTCTTTAGTTTTATCAGATTTATAAGAGACAGATACAGCTTTATGCTTCTCTCTGAAAACAGTCTGGTTGCTGTGTGCGCGCGCTGTTCTGGAAGAAGAGCACATAAAAGGAATTCCGCCCTATATGACGTCATGAAGGGCCATACTCGGAAAAAAAAACTTTTTTGAAAATTATACGAACTCTGAAGGAGTGTCTTTGACACAGAAATACGTCCAACTCGTCTTTTGAGACTTTGGTCATGTTTGGCATGAGAATCAAACTCTTTAGCAGTGTAAATAATTCAGAATGCATGAAATAGAATTAGACCACCTTGCACCTTTCATCAGCATTGTTCTTTTATCCATTTTCCTTTTATCACATTCACATCCTGTCTTCTCTCCTCAGCACGCTGGGTCTTCGATACTTCACATACGGGATACTGTTCGGCTGCGGATCCTCATTCGCATTCCAGCCGTCTCTGGTGATCCTGGGGCATTATTTTCGACAGAGACTGGGTTTGGCCAACGGCGTGGTGACGGCAGGCAGCAGCCTCTTTTCTATGGTGCTCCCTGTGCTGCTCAAGAAAGTGGTGGGACCGCTGGGCCTTCCCAGAACCTTCCAGATCCTCAGTATCTTCATGCTGGTCCAGTCGCTGCTGGCCCTCACTTTCAAACCGCTCATGCCCAGTGGGATGTGCCCGATGCCAGGCATGGGAATGGACGGAGGTCCCCCGTCCGGCCTGGAGTCGGCGAGCAGGTGGCAGAAGGGCCTGGCCAAAATCAGGAAGTACTTTAACGTACGAGTGTTTGGTGTGCTGACCTATCGGGTTTGGGCGTTCGGTGTCGCCACGGCAGTTCTGGGATACTTCGTTCCGTACGTGCACCTGGTGAGTTGTGGTTTGAGACCATATAGTGTCATTTTCAGTGTTATTTTAATACTATTTATATGTTGTTATAGTATTTAATAATATTTTGAATTAGCTTTTATTTTTATATTTTTAATTAAATTTTTTACGTTTTATTAATTCTATGTGCTTTTGTAAGTTTGAGTAGCTTATGTTTTTCTGTAATATTTTTATTTAGCTTAAATTTATTTTAGTTTTAATTTGTTTTATTTTAGCATTTATTTAATACTAAAATTTATTTATTAAATAGCATTTTTTTTTAGTATTTCAGTTTTAGTACTTCAACTTATTCTTCTTATTTTAGTTGTGTGCCAAGGCAATATTTCTAGGTTTAAGGTTTTCATCTAATATTTATATTTTAATTAATTTAGTTTAGATGAATTTTATTTAGCTTATTTAATAATTGAATAGTTTATTCAATAATTGAATCGTTTTAGTTTACAATAACAACCCTGGATAATAGCAGAGTATGTGCTCCCTTCCAAGTCAAAACTGACATGAAAACAAGCACATTATGTTCAAAAATCATTTTAACAACAATTTTATTAGCAAATGTTCAAGCATTCTTAAATCAAGATACATTTATGTAAGAAGCAAAATTACATAAGGCATTACGAAAAATTTTAAAAGGTATAAAAAAACAACATCTAAAATTAAGTGAATTTACACATAAGTCAAGAGGGAAAAACTTAATTCAAAGGGAATTGTTGTTTTAAGCATAAAGCCACCTAATTTAAATTTTTTTTAATGTAATTTTGCTTCTCAGGTAAAAGTAGCTTGATTTAAGAAGGTTTAGATATTTTACTTATATATATATATATATTTCTTATTAATATGCATGTTTATATATCCCTGCTTAAGTGGTGGGGGCTAAAATCAACATGGGAAAAAATGTGGAGGCATATTTATCATTTTTGAATGCTAATTTAAATGAACTGTACACTACTCAAGTTGAATTTAATTTTAAATTCACTGTGTTGAAAATTGAAATCAAATTACTTCAGTGATTTAGTAGCAACAAATGATAAATATTTTGCCTCAGAAACATGGCCCTGCAGGTGGAAAAGCAGTTCTCACTCTCACCAGGGAGTTTTATTTTTTATGCCAGATTCTGAGCATAATTAATATCTCGCTTTCCAGACATTTGGCACAAAGCCGAGTTCCACCATTAAATCATAATTACAGATCTTATGCACACAGGCCTATAGATTCCACAGATTTACATGAAGAAATTTGCAGAATAATACAAGTGCAGTAGACTGAAGTGATGATTGATATCATGATATTTAAATTAGTACAATCCAATAAATAAGATCTTCTCGAGCCATATAATGGTTCAGATTCAGATGTGATCAATGATTAATTGTTACCAGTCTGTCATTTTGCTAAACTCCCACTGTGACCCAAATTATTTTTCCAAACATTTAATTACATTTGAGGTCATGATTTGAAATCATACTGACCTCAGGATACTCATTCTGCATCATGTAGGAGTTTATTCCTCTTGACACTCCTGTCCTTTCTTTCACCCTAAAAACTTGACGGGACATTTTTAAACTAGAGTCATCAAACTGGGTAGAGCCAACTAATATCAGACCGTACAAAACAAAAGGCAGAATGTTTTCACTACTCTTTTTCTTACAATGAAAATGATGCGGACGGATGCTGTTGAACTTTAAAGAAAATCACAGTAAAATGGAGTAAAACTCGATTGAGGTTGTTGAGAGTTGCAGTTGTCGAATGAATTAGACACAACAGGGTCCATCACCATTAAAGGAGCAGTTACCCAAAAATTAAAAGTGCTAAAAAGTGTACTCTCCCTCAGATCATCCAAGATGTAGATGAGTTTGTTTCTTCATGGGAACAGATTTGGAGAAATGTAGCATCATATCACTTGCTCACCAATGGATCCTCTGCAGTGAATGGGTGCCGTCAGAATGAGAGTCCAAACATCTGATAAAAACATCACAATAATCCACAAGTAATCCACACCACTCCAGTCCATAAATTAAGATCTTGTGAAGTGAAAAGCTGCTTGTTTGTAAGAAACAAATCCATTATTAAGACGTTTTTAATTTCAAACCATCGCTTCCAGCTAAAATACGAGTCCTCTATCCATAATATTGCTTTCTCCAGTGAAAAGGTCATCTCGTCTGAATCAGGAGAGAAATATGCACAGATCAAGCACTGTTTACAAGCCAAAAACAGTTCTAAACAAGCATGTTGGTGGATTTTGATGTGAGAGACAACGGGATGGAATTTTTCACTGGAGGATGCGTTATTATGGACTCATATCCATAATAGCAACAGCTTAATGTAAAAATGCCTTACAAACACAAAGACTTCACAATCTTGCTTCACAAGACATGTTACATTTCTCCAAATCTGTTCCCATGAAGAAACAAAAAAAGTCAATTTTCAACAAATTGACATTTTTGGGTGAGCTATTCTTTTAAACTTACATTTATTTTAATCTGTTTAGTTGCCAAGGCAAACGTTGGAATTTGGAATGTTTCAACCTTTTTTTAAGTTTAAGATTTACATCTAATATTAATATTTTATTTTATTTAAGCTTTATTTTCGCTAACAAAAATTATTTTTAGTTAGTTTTAGTTAACTATAAGAACACTATAAGCACTAAAATTACTAAAACTGAAATTAATTTTTTTTATAAAATAAAGTTTAATTACTTAGCTAAGTACAAGTATTAAAAAACGACAAATGCACACAACAATATCACTAAAACTTAAACGGAAATTAAATTGAAAATATAAAAATAATTAATTTAATTAATATGCATGTTTATATATCTGTGCTTAAGTGGTGGGGACTAAAATCGACACATTTTTGGGTGAGCTATTCTTTTAAACTTACATTTATTTTAATCTGTTTAGTTGCCAAGGCAAACGTTGGAATTTGGAATGTTTCAACCTTTTTTTAAGTTTAAGATTTACATCTAATATTAATATTTTATTTAATTTAAGCTTTATTTTAGCTAACAAAAATTATTTTTTAGTTAGTTTTAGTTAACTATAAGAACACTATAAGCACTAAAATTACTAAAACTGAAATTAATTTTTTTTATAAAATAAAGTTTAATTACTTAGCTAAGTACAAGTATTAAAAAACGACAAATGCACACAACAATATCACTAAAACTTAAACGGAAATTAAATTGAAAATATAAAAATAATTAATTTAATTAATATGCATGTTTATATATCCGTGCTTAAGTGGTGGGGGCTAAAATCGACATGGGAAAAAATGTGGAGGCATATTTATCATTTCTGAATGCTAATTTAAATGAACTAAAAGCTTAAAAGCTAATTTGAAATATTATTAAATACTATCATAGTATATACAGTAAATAATACTAGAATAACCCTGTTGTTTAGAAAAACATTCTGCCTCACATCTTATTTTGTGTTTGTGCCATATTGGTTTATAAGATTACTAATTAATGTCCATTTCTATTTTGGTGTGAACGAAGTCTTCAGATTTAGCACATAATTTATGAAACATGAAACTTGCAGTAGCTCTGCTTCTTGGAAGCGATTTGCTTTTCTAGTTAACATTTTTTAAATACCAAATCCTTATCAGTGCAGTCAATAAATCATGAAATGTAGTGTTTTTGGCACTTTATTTCTGAACTGAATGTTAAACAGGGTTTTGACATTTGCTGTTTCATGGAGGCTGTTGTTTACAAGCCGACAAAACAAAGTGAACAAAATGCCTCCGATTTACAGTCAAGCCGGTGTGCATTTAAACGTTAAGAAAACAGAGGAGGCTATAGGAGCGAAGCGCCCGTCCTATGCATAAATAATGTTTTAGGGTTCCGCGAACTGAAATATTTACTGCACTCTGCATGACAGAAAGTGTATGTGATGAGTCCACACATGTTGATGATGAATTATTAACTCGGCGTGTGTCATCTCAGGTCAGACTCTGGGGATTTCTGTCCTTGTTTCACCTTTCCTTCTCACTCATTCTCTGTTGTCATAGTGATGGACATACTTTTACTTGGATACCTGAATTACTCAGCCGTAATGGTGCTTCTCTCTTGTTTTCAGCAGAGAATTAGTTTCCAGCCGCTCAACCAAGTGCACAAATGGAGTTTGGGTCACACTGATAAACAGGCCATAAAATGTGATGATATAAGAGAATGCACTGTTTACTGAAAGAAAAGCTTGACGCAGATGGTTCCTTCATGTGTGCTTTTCTTTCCCTGCAAAGCGTGGAAATTCAAAACCTTTAGTTGTTCAGCATGTGTGGGAATACTTCAGTGTGGTTAATGGAGATGTGCTCAAACTATCAGCGTTAAAGAAAATATTACTTTTATTCAGCAAGGAGGCATTAACTTGATCAAAACAGAGAGTAAAGACTTTTATAATATTACAAAAGATTTCTTTTTCAAATAAATTCTGTTCTTTTGAACCTTCTATTCATCAAATAATCCTGAGGAAATGTGTCACGGTTTCCAGAAAAATATGAAGCAGCAAAACTGTTTTTACCATTGATATTAATAAGAAATGTTTCTTGAGCAGAAAATCAGCATATTAATGATTTCTGAAGGATCATGTGACACTGAAGACTGGAGTAATGATGCTGAAAATTCAGCTTTGCATCACAGAAATAAATTGCATTTGAAAATATATTCTAATAAAAGAGTAATTTTATATTGCAATGATACTTCCCAACAGAAATGCATTCTTAGTGAGCATAAGAGACTTTAAAAAATGTTTAAAAACACACCAATCCCTTTTTAACATTATAAAGGTATTTTATGTCATTTCTAATCAAGGTAATGTGTCCTCGCTGAAGAAAAGGATTCATTTCTTTAAAAAAAAAAAAAATCATAATGTCCCCAAAATTTTGAGTGGTAGTATATTTTGAAAATATAAAACATATTGGAGTCTTAAAAAATTCACGATTAATTCAGTGTGTTGCTTGCCATTTCTTTGTAATCATTTGTGTAAAAAAAA